TTGGTTGGCAATTTTTTTTCTTTCAGAGTTTTATGTATGTCATCCCATTGCCTTCTTGCCTTCATGGTTTCTTTTGAGAAATAAGAGCTTAATCTTATTGGTTCTCCTTTGTTAGGTAACTTTTGTTTTTCCTGAGCTACTCTGAAAATCTTTTATTTTGGAAAGTTTGATTATAATATGTCTTGGTGATTTTCTTTTGGGGTCTATCCTGTTTAGTTTCAATTGACTTCTAAAATGCTTATCTTCTTGTCTTTCAGTCATTGGCAGTACCCAAATAATCTTTTGAATTCTTTTTCAGTTAGTTCCATTACCTTTTTTCCTTAGAAATATTTTCTGGCTCTGCATCTTGTCATTTGTTTGAGCTTAATCTCTCTTGTTTCTTCATGTGAGCTAAAATTGTCTGTTGTTTCCAGGGCATTATGGAATTGTCATATTAGTGAAAAATGGACAGTGCAGTTGTTGAACTCAGAGGGGAGAAATCTCTGGTGCAATTCAAGGAGCTCACGGGGTGGTTGTGGAAGGGACATGACAGCAGAGTTCTGGCTCTATTTAAATAGAGTTCCTGTTGGCCTCTGTGTTATCTTGGTTCAGGGCTCTCAATCTGGAAGTAGTTCGTAGGGACCCTTGATGGAGTTAGTTTCAGCGTGTGTTAGGACCACAGGGAAGCTGGGGGCAGGGTTAAATTTTCTTCTGGTGGCTCTCAGGGTTTGTAGATCTGGAGCTGAGCCCACCTGAATCCAGGCACCAAAATGACACACCAAAACCTGCAGCCAGCCCCCAACTCAACGTTGGCATGGTTCCTAACCAAGTGTCTCCAAACTCCCAGAGAGAAGGGTCTGTGTTAAGATGGATATGAGAGTGGGTGATGGTCATGGGGAGTGTGAGGAACATGGAGAACTCAGACCTTTCATGTTGTCCACATGAATCTGGTCTGCCAGGCCAAAGCTGCTCACAAGACGGTTGAGCCGTGTCTGGCCAACTGTTTACCAGTCAGTTTCTCTCTTTCCCTACCTCCTTAGCCTCTCCTCACTGCAAGCACTCCATCTATCTCTCTAACCTTTCTTCTGAAGTTCAGGGTGCCATAATTTTCATCTCCTTCTGTTTTATTTGGTCTCATATGTTTGTTGTTATGGGTCTGTGTAGTATGCCTGCTTAGTCTGCCATCTTGCTGTAAGTCTGATCTTGATAATTTTTAAATGTTATTGTCAATTATTTAGTAGAATGCCCCTCAGTTTGGGTTTATCTTAAGTGTTTTCATGAATAGACTGAAATTGTGAGCATTTTTTGGCAATGTCACAAAGTTCCTCTCATATCATACCAGAGATATATGATGCCATTAGGTCTCACTACTGGTAATATTCACCTTAATTAAAACTAGGTCTATTGAGTTTTCTAGTGTAAAGTTACTATTTTCACTCCTGTATAATTGTAAGTATTTTGGAGGAGATACTTTGAGACTATGCAGAGACTATGCTAATATCCTTTTTGTAAACTTTTACTTATTAACTTTAGCATCTATCCGTGATTACTGTAGTATTCTAATGATTATGTTCTCTCTTCCTCTTTACTTCTACATGTATTAATTTGAATTCTCTGGGAAAATCTCTCTATTCTCTAATTTGTTTATATCAGTATGGACTCATGGATGATTTTTGTATTCTTCTGGATTATGCAATGCAATTTTATTTTGTTGCTTGGATTGTTCTACTTTTGCTCATTAGGAACTTTTTCAGGTTGGCTCATGTGCCCTTTCCACCTGACCCTATTTTAAGCACTGCCTTACTTTCTGGCATCACAAGAAGCTCCAGGCTCAGGCTGTATTGAAAAGAAAAGTTGCCCCCATCCTGGAATTGATCATTTCGCTATAGAACCATGGTTCCTTATTTTGGAGACCAGTAACTTAGAAACCAGTATCTGGATGCTAACTAAGTGTACTCATTGTTATTACCTTTAGGTATGGCACTGTAGGATAGGCACTGGACTGCTAACCACAAGGTTTCTGCTTGGAAACTATACAGGATTGCTATAAGTCGGAACTTATTCAGTTAACAACAACATCATACTAACCTATACACATATAATTAAATTTGTTTCTGTCTGTATTGAATAGCCTTGAGCTCTTACAATGTTGTTATTAGGTGCTGTTGATTTGGTTCCGATTCATAGCGACCCTGTATAGAGTTTCCAAAGCTTTAAATCTTTGTGGAAGGAGAATGCCTCATCTTTCCACTGAAGAGTGACTGGTGGACTCAAACCTCAAACCTTGTGGCCCACAGTCCAGTGCTTAATCATATGAAGCCACTGCACTCCCAGTTCCTATAATACTTACTATATATATAAAAGAATATCATGTTAATACTTCTGCGTTCAATCCAATATTACAGGCGGCTTTATTCCATCCTGTAACTTATTTCTTCCTGTAAGAAACATGATTCTCATTATCTGTAATTTAACTTAACTAGACATCCCCGCCTGCCCCCCTGCTGCTCTTCCCAAAACAACTCTGCTTCAGCATTTTGCTCTGTGTATTTACGGTCAAAGTGACAACAGCAACTACAAAAGCTTAGATAGGCACTCTAGAGGACAGTGAGTTTATGTTAATGAGGGAAGAAAACAACTCAGAAAAGGAAGGGAGAATGGTTGCATACCTCAAAGAATTAAATCGTTGTTATTAAATGGTACGCACAGAAACTTTTGAATTGGGGTGGTTGGTGTGTATAGTCTCAACAACACCACAGAAAAATTTAGCAAAAAAAAAAATATTAGCCCATGTTCATTTGTCAGAAGCATTACTCTAGTAATAGGTCTTATAAGTCCTTTTAAGTATAATGCTTGTGAAGTAGGTAATTGTTTTGAGCTTCTGCACCTGGACTGTTTTCCATTGCTTGAATGTCTCTTCCCCTATGTTGGTTTGTGGTTTAAGACACACCCTACACTGACTTGGCCTCTTAACCATAATAAAGGAGACCTGTTCCCAAAGGCGGAATTCTGGTGTGGCATTATGGGTTAATGCATCAGACTGCAAAGCCCTTTGAACTTCGAGGTCAGGTCGGTTGGCGGTTCAAGCTTACCAGCTGCTCCTCAAAAACCCTGTCCAGGGCTGCTGTGGGTCAGCACTGACTCAACAGTACTTAACAACAACAAATTCCCAGTGGTGAAAGTTAAAACAAACCTATTTATTTTACGTAGTTTGGATAATACTTAAAGAAGCAAATACTCACCCATAAACAGGTACTATATAAATTTTGATGTATTTCTCTAAGTATGTTTTTTATAACTGTACTTTTAGTCTTAAAAAACAAAAGTCTATGATTTTTGTCTCTTTAAATTAAAAAAAGTCATTTATTTACGTAACTAAAAATCAGAAATCATATAGTGAAAATATAAATAGGACAGCCACCAGTATTACCCACTGCCATTGAGCCAACTCTGACTCTTAGTGAGCCAGCAGGACAGAGTAGAACTGCTTCATAGGATTTCCAAGACTAAATCTTCATGAGAGCATACTGGCACAGAGCAGCTGCTGGGTTAGAATCGCTGATCTTTTGGTTAGCAGCCGACTGCTTTAGACACTGTGCCACAAGAGTGCCACCACTATTCGTTTCTTAGATATTTTCCGGAATTTTTTTTAATGCCATTTTTAAAGTACAAGTTATCCCCTTCTCCCCCTTCACATGAAAGACAGCATGACTTGCATTTCCCTACCCACCATTTTTCCATCCTCTACTACTACTGGAATCCTGGTGTAGCACTGTAGCATAAGGACTGGACTGCTAAGTGCAAGTTCAAACCTACCAGTTGCTTCTTGGAAACTCTGTACAGGGTCACTATGAGTCAGAACCCACACAACAGTACTTAAACAACAGCAACAACTATTAACTATGGTCCAGTCAGACTCATATTCTTCACTTACCAACAAAGGAGCCCTGGTAGCAAAGTGAGTTAGGAGTTGGGCTGCGAACTGCAAGGTCAGCAGTTTGACTATACCAGTTGCTCCTCAGAAGAAAGCCTCATTTTTCTGTTCCTGTAAAGATTTACAGTCTCAGAAACCCTATACAGGGTTGCTCTGTCTGGGAACTGACACCATGGTACTTCAGGAACTCTCTTTTTGCTTTTTGAATACTATCTATCTAGCTATCTTTTTGTGTATGAATTGCGTGATAGTTTATATGGGAGAACATTGGTTTACATTTATCATTTCATTGCAGTGATTACAGTCTCCTCTGTGCATCATCATTCAATAGTATTTGCTTCTATTCCCGGTTTTTGGTGGTTTTCAGGGGTGCGGGGGGGGGGACGATGTACACAAAACCCTCAGGAATATATAATCACTAAACAACCAAAGGGCACATTCTGCAAGCCTGCTTCCTGGCTGCCAGTACACAGCCTTTCTCTCTCCATGAGTCTGGAGTCTTCAGCTGCTCTGTCTCTGCATGTCCTCATCTCTACCTCCATCTCTGGTGTCGCTGCTTCTCTGGATAGGTTCCCATATTCCACTTGTGCTCTTCTCCCTTGATGGTCCTAGGGTCCTCTGTTCTTGGACTGTAAGATTAACTACTCCCCACTTTTTGTTACAAAACGCTTTTTTGAATATTCTTAAGCTTGTTTGCATCTCAGACCCTTTGCTAATTCGATTCTTTCTTCCTGAACTACTGAGAACCTTGAAACTTTTGCATTGTTAACTCATTCATTGGTCTCAACTCAAATGATGACTTCTTATTCTTGAAAGCTAACAGTTGTTGTTTCATTAATTCCTGCTTTTTGAAATTGCTTTTTGTTCCATTCGGAGATAAGCTCTATGAAAGCAATGGTCTTGTTTGACGTGGACACTGTAGCATCCTTAGATCCTAGAATGGCAGTGCTGGCTCAGAGCCTCTAAATAAGTGTTTGAGTAAATAAATATCCTCCCAGCTGGTGCTTTGTACTTGATTGGTAAGGCAAATTAATTTAACAAGATCACTAAAATTTGGGTTGCCTTTTTTTTTTTTTAAACATCTTAGGAAAAACATCACAAGGCCATTTGAGGATCAAACATCACTGGTAAGTACAAGGAACTTTAGATGTGAGAGAACATATAAATGGTTTTTAATCTTGTATCAGCCAAAAATAATCTCTGGGGGGAAAAAAAGATAAATTGAAATATAGGAAATAGCTCAAGCATGTTTTGCCTTAATTTGCTTATTCCTGATTCATAGTTTTAAATTTTTATTGTAAAATATATAATAAAGCATTTGTTATTTCAGCCATTTTTATATGTACAATTCAGTGATGTTCACAGTGTTGTATAGCCATTATCACTGTTGATTTCCAATTTTTTTTTTATCATTCTTAAAATAGAAACTCGGTACCCTTTAAGCAGTACCTCATTAGTTTCTATGTCATTAATTGATGAGACTGTTCCAACTGACTTTTGAACTGGAAAAGACTGGATCTAAGTTTTCTTTTGAGCTAGGAAATCTCAGTAAACTAAAGTGTGTGGGATGTAGAGATTATAAACATCAGTGTAAAAGGACCTGTCTAGGGTTGGAACCCTGCAAGTTCTCACTTCTTTCAAATTTGTAAGGGAAGTCAGGGGCATTTGGGAGAGAGAAAGTATCTCTTAGGAGTAGGAGTATCATAGATCTGTTCCTGAGTTCCTGCTGGATGCAGAAAATGGAAGTAGTCACCGCTGGTGTGACATGCAAATTTGAGGGCAAGATTTCTGGGTGGATGAACTTTCAAAGAGAAGTAGTTGTATACATTGTAAACTCATGAATCTCATTATAAACACCCCAAACCACTATATTGACAAATTTATGTAGAAGATGTCTATATAATTGCATAGCTGAAAACAAAGTCTCATTTTATTTATTCACCTAATAGTTGATCTGTGTTTTTAATCTTGAATTTACATTTTTTCTGTAAGTACTCCAAATCAGAAAATTTTAACGGAAAATCTAGAAATAAAATAACTTTCTTCCATATGTTCCTATTTGGTTCATTCTGTCTTCATTAACTTCTACAGGAGAAAACTAATACACTTTTCCTATGAAAGAGTTTTTATCTAGTGTAGATGTAATATTCAGGTTCTTTTATTTATTCATTGAGTGATGAGATTTCTTTGGCTTTTTAGGAATTCTTCTCAAAGAAGTCAGATTGTTCTTTATTCATGTTTGGCTCTCATAACAAGAAGCGACCAAATAATCTAGTAATAGGTGAGTATCATTACATTCTCATGTTTGTAATTAAACATAGAGTTAATGCTATGATATAGACATAACTGTGAAGGTGTTGAAGACTCAAGAGCAATCAAATACACTCTGAAGCTGGTTTTCTTTTTTTTTTCCCCTCCACTCTTCTTTGTCACACAGAATATAATTTTTTTAGCTATCATCCCCCAGGTAAAGAATGGGGCATGTAAATATTACCCTGGTGTGACACTGTAGGATAAATACAGGACTACAAGGTCAGTTTGAACCAGAAGATCAGTGGTTCAAAATCACCAGTCACTCCTTGGAAACCCTGTACTGGGTCGCTGTGAGTCAAAACTGACTCGACAGAACTTAACAACAACAATCACCTAAAATTGTAGGATTTTTTTCTAATATGGAGTGTACAAGGGTGCCAGTCACTCCTTGGAAACCCTATACTGAGTTGCTGTGAGTCGAAACTGACTTGACAGCACTTAACAATAGCAATACCTAAAATTGTAGGATTTTTCTAATATGGAGTGTACGTGGGACCTTCAAAATGTTGAGGAAAAGTGGAATTAAAATATAGTAGAATTTTTCCATGAACTTTTTGAAGTTCTGCTTCTCTGAATAAGGTCTCTCATTCTGCTTGGGAGTCTCCTTGGGGGATGTAAGAAGAAAAGAAAAAGGTATTAGGGCATTTTGGACAGGTAGACAAATGGTTACATATGAAGGGATTCAAAAAGTTCATGGAAAAATGGAATTAAAAGATAATAGAATTTTTTTCCACAAACTTTTTGAAGCCTCCTTGTATAAGGCAACTGTTGGGGAGAACAAATTGCTTAAAAGAAAATGTATTTTCCTCCTAGGCCGTATGTATGACTACCATGTGCTGGATATGATTGAATTAGGTATCGAGAAATTTGTCTCTCTAAAAGATATTAAGGTAAGACACCATAAGAGTAAATGGCATTTTGTAATGTTACTCTTAGGCAGTGGTGCTGTCTAGTGGTGAAGAGTACTGACATTGTTTTGTAGACTAAGAAAGAATGGGCAACTTGGACATTGGCTACCCAAAATGGGGCCGGGGGTGGGGGTGGGATGCCTACAAAGGCAAGAAGTGACTGGCTTACAAGCTTTCAAGAGGGAAACTAGATCTAGAGGGCGTGGAGGAAGGTAGAATCTCCAGTGAGTAGTATCCAACCTGTCTAGGAAGGGCTGATGAAATGAAATACAGATGGGTCTCTTGTGATGCAATAGTGAATAATTGTTATCAGGAATGATTGTGAGGATTAGAAATGTAAATGTAGACTAAGAAAGAACTTTGCTTTTATTCTGGTGTACTCTAAGAAAAAACACAGGTTTATCCGTATAGGGTACCAGGATTTCTCAGTTTACCTTATTGTTGTTAAGTGCCATTGAGTTCCAACTTGTAGTGGCCCCATATAGGATTTCCGATGAGCAGCTGGTGGATTTGAACCACAGACCGTGTGGTTTGTAGTCCAGTGCTTATCCTACAGCACTACACCAGGAGTCTTTGGTTTACCGTAGTTTTTTTTTTTAATGTTTTATTGTGTATTGTGTGATCGTTTACATGGGAGAAATTCGTTTTCCATTCATTCTATCATACATCGTTTCATTGCCATAAGTACCATCCCGTCCATGCATCATCACCCAACCAAAGGGTATACCCTGCAAGCCTGCCCTCCCACCCCACGGTTCTCAGCACACAGCCCCTTCCCTCTCTGGATCTCAAGTCCCCAGCCACTCCATCTCTTCACGTCATTCTCTCTGTCTCCATCTCAGGCCTCACTGTTTCTCTGGGTGGGGTCCCGCTCTCCACTCTTCTCCAGTGATGGTCCCAGGGCCCTCCGCTCCTAGACTGAAAGGTTAATCACTCCCCTCCTTGCTATTAAGTATCCACCTTTACATTTCCAGTCCTCACAGTCAGTCTTGATAACAATTATTCACCCTTGCATCCTAAGAGACCCATCTGCATTTCTTTTCATCTGCCCTTCCTAGACAGGTCAGATATTACTCACTGGAGACTCTACTGTCCTCTCCCCGCCCTGTGGATCTAGGTTCCCTCTTGAAAGCTTGTAAGCCAGTCACTTCTAACCTTTTGTATCCCTTCCCGCATTTTGGGTAGTCAATGTTCAAGTTGCCCATCCCTATCTACTCTTTGTGTGGAGGGGGTGGGAATAATTCTTGGAGCAGGGATTTGTTTCCTCTTTTGATCTATTGCATTTATAGGTGCAGGTCAAGTTTATCAGGTTGTATCAGATGACACTTTTTTTTTCCCCCTCTTCTTTCTTCTTCGGGTTGAGCTCTGTTCATCCAGTCATTGAAGTCAGGTCAAGTGGGTATCATCTGCTAGTGTGGGTGTTCTTGCGTCTGTCCGCCCTCTTCTTACCAGCTGATTGCTTGCTCTCCACTCTAGTCCTCTGTGGCTGTGTCCCTGACTCTGAGCCCATGAGTCCCCAGGTCTTGCCTTGCTGCTGGCCGACCAGGTCTCCACCCGATTACCATAGTATTTTATTATTTTTATTTTATTTTTTTTATTTGAGGTTTTTATTGTGGATTGAATAAAAGTTTACAGGGCAGATCATCAGTTTTACATTCAACAAAACATTCACCTTGTTCATTACAATAATTACAATCCCCTCCATGTATCATCAGTTAACAGTGTTTTTCTCTATTCACTTTAGCTTTTATTTAAACACTCAGGCATGTATAATAATTTACACCACCAAAGGGCACATTCTACAAGTCTGCCTCCTGGCCGCCATCTCTTAGTCCCTCACTTCCAATGAATCTAGAGTCCTAAGTTGCTCCCTCTCTCCATGTCTCCATCTCTACCTCCATCTCTGGTGTTGCTGCGTCTCTGGATAAGGTCTCTCGTTCTGCTAGTGTTCTTCACTTGTGATGATCCTAGGGTCCTTTATTTCTGGGCTGTAAAATTAACCACTCCCTTGTTTTTGTTATGAAACTTTTACCTTTATATTTGTGACAGTGGCAATTAGTCATGATAACAATACTCACTATTGAATCATAAGAATCTTATCCCCATCTCTTTTATCTAGACCCATCTAGACAAGATGAGAACTATTCAGTGGGGGCTCTTTCTTTCTCCACACACTATTAAACTATGACTGGCTCAAGACAGCTCTGACTCATAGTAAACCCTGAGTTTCCAAGGCTGTAAATTTTTACAGGAGCAGCTAGCCTTCTCTTTCTTCTGCCATAGCTACCTATGGTGGTAGTGGTGGTTATGTGTTGTTAAATGCTGTTGAGTCAGTTCTGACTCATAGCGACCCTATATAGGATTTCCAAGGAGCAGCTGATGATATTGAACCACTGACCTTGTGGTTCAAACCAACCTTATGGTCCAGTGCTTTATCCCACCGTGTTTTACCAGGACTCCATAGTAACTTATGCTGGTGGTAGTGATGTTGTGCCGTGGAGTCAGTTCCAACTCAGCGCCCCTGCACAGGGTTTCCAAGGCTGTAAGTCTTTATGGGAGTAGAAAGCCTCATCTTTCTCCTGTGGAATGGCTGATAGTTTCTAACTGCTGATCTTAAGGTTAGCAGCCTGACTTGTAACTACTACGCTACTAGAAGTCCTTATGGCGATCTATAGGACAGAGTAAGACTGCTCCGTAAGGTTTCCGAGGCTGTAAACCTTTATGGAAGCAGACTGCCACATCTTTCTTGTATGGAACAGTGGAGGAGTTCAACAGCCAACTTTTTGGTTAGCAGTCCCAACCCCACCAGGGCTCCTTAGTAAATATAATCACTCTTTTTCCCAGTTTCCCAATAAAAAAGGGATACACCATGCAACTTTGGTAGAACTCCTAAACTAAATATCGGTACACTGAGTTTGGGGAAAGGCTCTCGGTCAACCACCCCAGCCTCCTCAGGTACCTGGTGGAACAGTGGCTAGAAATTGGATGTGGTGGTGGTGGTTGTGTGCCACCAGTCAGTTCGAAATCAGAGTGACTCTGTGTAGTGTTTCTGGCGCTGTAAATCCTTATGAGAACAGAAAGCCTCATCTTACTCCTGTGGAGCGCCTGGTAGATTCAAACTACAGGCTTGTGGTTAGCAGTCCAGCTCATACTCCATTATACTACCAGGGCAGAATATTTGTTTCAGATCTGTTTTGTCCATGTAGATGATGTTTTTGACAAGTCAGTTACTACTCTAAAGTATAAAATAGGTGTAACAGTACATGCGAAAGTGCTTATCAATGAAGCCAAATATATGGGAAGGTGTTTTGTAATCTTCTTAGACTGATGCCTGAGAAGAGTGGGAGCCAATACTGTTACAGTTCCACTTTGGAGCCATGTGTGAATGAATCCCTGGAAATGAGCACTTTACCACTACTGCTAGCTCAGTCAACAGGTCAGGTGCTGTGAGCACTGATGATGCATGCAATCCAACCCTCTGTTTTGTCCATTTTACTTCTGAAGCAAGGAAACTGACCCAAAAATCAATACTGCTCATTAGGTCTCATTCGTAATTGTTGTTGTCCAGTGCTGTCAAGTTGGTTCCGACCCATAGTGACCCTGTATAGGGTTTCCAAGGAGCATCTGGTGAACCTGAACCGCCGACCTTGCAGTTCAAGCCGACTTTGCAGTCACGTACGTGAACCCACAGCGCTACACCAGGACCGCTCATTCTTAATACAAACCATTGAAATTGAATACTAAAATTTCACTTATGGAGTATCTACAAAACTCTATGGAGTCTTGGTGTAGCGCTGTAGGATAAGCACTGGACTGCTAACGAGGTCAGCAATTCTGAACTATCAGCTATTCCTTGGAAACTGCCATGGTACTTAACATAAAACTATATATAACTATGTTGTTGTCAAGTGCCTTCAAGTTGGTTTAGTCATGGTGTGGCAGTGGAGGATAATCACTGCTAAGGTGGCAATTCAAACCCACCAGCAGCTTCTTGGAAACGCTCAGAACCATCTTACCATTGCCACCACTGCCATCAAGTCAATTCTAATTCATAGAGACCCTATAGAGCAGAGCAGAACTGCTCTGTAGGATTTCTGAGACTGGTAATTTTTACAGGAGCAGAAAACCTCATCTTTCTTTTGTGGAAAGGCTGCTGGGTTTGAACCACCAACCTTATGGTTAGTGGACAAATGCTTAAACCCACTGTACCACCAGGGCTCCTTGTAATTATTCTATGAGCCTTTTTTTTTAAGATGATCAAAATTGTGGAGATGGTTATTCTGCTTGAAACAAACCTCCATAAACAAGAGGATTAAATTTTAAGGCAAGTTAATACTGTTTTAGATAAGGTACAGTGCATTGCATCTGTCTTAGATTTTATTTTTTGAAAGTTTTTGATATGCTGTACATTTTTTTTTTAAATTTAATTATAAGAATTATTATTTTTAAGGGGTTGAAAGCAAATGCTGTTGAATGGTGATGCATTGAGGGGATTGAAATCATTGCAATGAAACAAAATATGATAGAATGAATGTAAAGCTGATGCTCTCCCATGTAAACTATCACTCAATTCACAATAAAAACTTTAAAAAAAAAAAAGTATTTTCTTTATTTAGAAAGGTAAGTTCAAAAGATTAGTTCAAAAACTTTGTTGTTGTTGTTGTTGTTAGGTGCCATCGAGTCATTACCGACCCATAGTGACCTTATGCACAGCAGAAGGAAATACTGCCCTATCCTGGGCCAAACTCACTACTGTTGCCACGTTTGAGTCCATCAATGCTGCCACTTGCCCAATCCATCTCGTTGGGGGTCTTCCTCTTTTTCTCTGACCTCCCACCTTACCAAACACGATATCCTTCTCCAGCGACTGGTCCCTCCTGACAGTATGTCCAAAGTATGAGAGACAAAGTTTGACCATCTTGGCCTCTAAGGAGCGCTTTACATGATTATATTTTAAAATATTTACATGATTATATTTTTAG